CTGGGCAGCCAGCAAGGTCAATGGGTGTCAGTCATGTAGGGTGTGATGCTCGGGTGAGCAGGCAGCAGCCTGGCATTGACTTCAGTGTCTCTGCTCTTAGACAATAAGAACATGTTTGAGCAGAAACATCAAGCAGAGGAATGCTCTTTGGGCTCTGACCAGGGAAGCAGAGATGCCCGGATTTTCTCTTTGTCTGCAGGTCCTGCCGGCTCCAGGCTCCTCTTATTATGGGGGCTCTGGGCAACCCTTACTGGGCACTGGCTGGAGAGTTGGGCTTTATTTTAATTCAGCTGCCTGTCTCCTGCCCTAGGATTTGCATGCATTGAGCCCCAGTGGCATCAAATGTGCAGTACACACCATCTGTGGTAGATGGTGTGACTTTCAGGGGGCAGATCGTGAGCATTCTGCTGCACGTCGAGGAGTTCTTAGAATAAAACCCCTCTGGCAGTGTCCCAGCTGACGTGGGAGCTAGCAAACTTTGTCCTGAAATGCAGACAGTAAATATGTGATTGTCTTAAGCTGAAACCAGTTGGACCTTCCATTGACTGACATTTGAAATTCCAGACATGTTTTATATATTTTTTTCATCTTATAAATAGTTTCTGTCCCAGCACACCCAGCTTTCTAACCTGGAGGGAGCAGAGGGCGGGTGAGCATCTTGCTGGGTGAGGCATTGCCTGAGGAGCTCGGGACCGGCCCTGCTTCCTGCTGGGCTGCAGGGTTAGCCCCCACCTTTGTCAGGCCCTGCATCCCCCATCCTGTCTCCCAGAAGCCTCTTGTGTGTGGATGGACATAAGAGGCAGGGGCTGACGGGTGCCAAAGCAGGAGTCTCCCGTGGAGAAGAAGTGACAGTCAGACTTATAAGTATGAACTGATACATGACTAGGGTGAGGTTTTTATGATTAAATGGTGATGAAATACACATAACTTAAAATTTACCATACTGGCCATTTTTAAGTGCACAGTTGAACAGCGGGAAAGGAGGCACATTCACACTGCTGTGCAGCTGATCTCCAGGACGCTCTTCATCTCGCAGCACTCAAACTCTGTTAAACAAATGTCCTGTTAAAACCATTAAACAAAAACCACTTATTCCCCCTCCCCCAGCCCCCATTCTACTTTCTGTCTCTAGGAGTTTGATTCTTTTAGATACCTCGTGTAAGTGGAAACATACAGAATTTGTCATTTTGCTACATGCTTATTCATTTAGTATAATGTCCTCAAGGTTTATCTGTGTTGTTGCCTGTGTCAGTACTTGCTCCCTTTTTAAGGCTGAGTAATATTCCATAGCATGTGTTTACCACATTGGGTTTGTCTGCTCATCCCTTGATGGACACTTGGGTGCTTCCACATTATGGCTATTGTGAATAATGCTGCTATGAACATGGGTGTACAAATATCTTTTCAAGTCTCTGCCTTCAGTTCTTTTGGGTGTATACCAGGAGTGGAATTACTGGGTCATATGGTAGTTCTACTTTTAATTTTTTGAGGAACCTCTGTGCTGTTTTCCATGGTGGTCACCCCGTTTTACATGCCCACAAGCAATGCACAAAGGTTCTAATTTCTCTACATCCTTGCCACAACACTTGTTATTTTGTTTTTTTTTTTTTCAATAGTGACCATCTTTATCATACCTACAGTTTAGTTTGATATAGTAGTGGTATTTTTTACATTATACTTGTCCCTTGAAGAGTGTGGTGATTAGGGGCACCGACTCCACACCCCATCCAGTCTCTGTTCTAAAGAAATGTGCAATTCATTAACATAAACCAGCTCTGAGATACTCACATTTGACTGGCCTGTGGTGGGACTTGGAAACACATTAAGATTCCCAAATTCTTCTATAGGGCAGCCAGGTCGAGAGATCCCTGACCGCAGCCCTGTGTCCGTAGGCCTGCAGCACCCAAAGCGTTCTCAGAAGACATGGTTTTGAGCAAAACTTGTAGGGCAGAGTGTGAGGCCGAGGCAAGGGGACATGTATTGTGAGTTTTCCAGGAACAGTGAGCTGCTGGCCAAGTAGGGGAAGCATGAAAAGTTGTTCGCGATTGATGGTTGGGCGGACAGTCCTGATTTTCTGGCTCTGCTGGCAGTTGGGAATGTCGGTCACAACCCATAGGGGACAGACATGTGATGGCTTTGAGTCAAGGGGTCCTGATGGGAGCACATAGCTGGTTTTTGCTGTGAAGGTATTTAGGGCCTTATCTGATCATTTTATTTTATTTTTTTCAAAAGGAGCCAGAAATTCTTTCTGTTAGTATGAAAGATCCCAGGTTTTTCACTGTTGGCTAATGTGTGTGCACACACAACACTGCACTGGGTGACAAGCCTCTGGGTGGCCTGCAGCCCGCAGGGCAGCTCTGAGGGTGCCATCCACGTGCTGCTGCCCAGCAAGGTTGTTGGCACCCCTGGTGGCAGTCAGTGGTGTGTGGCATCAAGGGCCACAGAGGTGGCAAGATGGCCTGGTGGGAAGCTGGGTTGTAGGAATAGACTGCATCTGTACAGATGCCACCACCAGCTCTGGGTGGTTGGGAACCGGCTGTTTATTCAGGGGGCTTACGAGGAGGGAAAAGCCCTTGTACCTCTCTGCCTTTGGCCCCAGTGGAGTGCTGGCTGAAGGGCTCAGTGCACCAGAGCCGCTTCCCTGTAACTCAGAGAGTTATAGAGGAACTCAGCCACTTTTATTTGTATCCCGAGGTAAACATGTAGTTCACTTGGAAAATAAATCCATTTCCTAAAATGATAAACATTTTTTTTTCTAAAGGCACCTTTGGGAGGTAATTTGAATGGCAAGTGTGCTTCTCAGAGACTAGGCAACCAGCCCTTGACTAAAGATTGATTAACAAAGGATCCCATAACCTTTTCTCTGTGTCTTGACTTTTCCATCTGAAGAATGGGGTGGCATCTGTTCTTCCTAATAGAGGTTGAAAAATGCAGTGGTTAAAATTGTCTGGCTTTGACGTTAGATCTGCCACTGCCCACACTCCTTAACTATAAAACAGGAATAAAGGTAATACCTCCTCAGGGTGCTATTGTGAAGAATCAAATGACTTAATAATATACAGCCCTTAGACCAGAGCAATATGTTGACCACCCATTTCTGTAAGTTGAGAGCAAAAAAAGTATGTAATGAATAAGAAGAAAGCATAAAAATTATGATACAGATTTAAGGTTTTTATAAGAAGAAAATAATTTTTGTCTACTTATAGTAGAGGATGAGACCCAGATCAGGAGCAGTTAACCAGGAGCATGAATGACTAGTTTGTGGCCTCATCTGAACCCCATTTGCTGGTTTTCCCAATTTTAAGCAACCTCTTTGTTTTATAAGTAATACATACACAGATATTATAGAAAAATTAGGAAATATATATAAATGGAAATAAAACAAATGTTGGGCTAAGCATTACCCAGAGATCACAATTACTAATTCTTTACTGTGTTTTCTAGACCTTTTTATGATTATTCCTCTAATTCAGACTTTGTTAAAAATTGAATTTTCCAACGCAGAAAGTATTTTGCAGTTTGTTTCTCTAAGAAAAGAACTATATTGAGCATTTTGGCATAAAATATTATGTACTTTAAAATATATTTAACTAGTACTACTATAGCATTGGTTTAAAAACCATAACTTACTGAAATTTTCTCTTATTGACCTGTAGTGAATTATTTGTTTGCCACTACAAATTACAATGTACTGAGCATCTTTGACTCTCCCACAATGTATTTTTGTGCAATTATTTCTTTAGGATAAATTTCTGGAAATGGAATTGCTGTGTCAGATTCTTTAGGCCAGCCAGTGGGCCCCCAAAGAAGATTGTTCTACAGGAGAATTGAACCTGTTTAGGGTTTGAGTTGCATCTCTAACTAGAGTAGGGCAGGACATAGGGAAAGGTGGCGGAGCAAGCCCCTGGGAGTCAGGCACGCCAGCTGTCCTTGCCTGCTCCTATACTGGTAACCCATGTCTCTGGGGAGTGAGATTGCTCACTGACACTCACTTTTCTCAGCTGCCAAATAATTTGAGGACTGAATAAGGTGAACTTCCTAAGTTACTATTAGCATAAATATTCCTGGAGCTGAGTACATATTATTATTATTATAAAATATCCAGGGTCTGTATTTATACTTTAGTAAGGTCCTCATGTATAAATAAGTGTATTTATTTGCACATATAATATACACACATACATACATATATGTATGTATACACATACACACGTATATACCTATATGTGAGGTAAAATGCTTGCATAAAGTGAGGCCAGTTGCATTCCCTGAGTAATCTGGAGGAGACAGGAATTTCTAAAAATGTTCATGTTCATCAAAACAGATGACTCATTGTCAGGTGTTCAGAAGTCTCCTGCAAAATGAATTGAGAATTCAAAGCCTACCAGAAATCAGGTGAAAACATGAGGTTGAGTGTTAAGACAAGATTGCTGCCATTAGCCGCCCACATCCACAGAGGCCTGTGTTGGGTGTTGGTCTGATGGTCATTCCGGCTAATTCAGCCCATCATGATGTTGTCTCCTCCTGGATCTGTGGGTTCCAGACCCTCAGCTGGCCATAGATCCAGAGCTGGGCAGTGATTTAAGCTGGAGCAAGGCTGCCCATCACTTAATTAGCTGTCATTTGGAACCCACCCAGAGTTCAGAGAAGGCAGGTTCAGGCAAACTGGGCCAGCCCGCACTCTGATCTGTCAGAATTATGGTCACACCACTCCCAGGTGGCGAACACATCTTTAGGTTGCTTCTTTCCAGGAACACTTCCTCTTAAAAATGCTCTCTCTATTTTTTAGTTGTCCATTTTCCATTAACATCAAAGAGTGCCAATTACTGATTTTGAAAAGGTCATGTAACCCAGAAGGCATTTCTGAGGAATGGTATACTCTTGAACTCCTATGGGGAGCAGTACTTAGAAGCTGCTGGGTGTTAGTGGGTGATTGTAGTAACCTGTGGTTGGATGCTGCCCCTTCATTCAGCCCTTACATGTTGTTGTCATTTTTTAAGGAGGAAGATGAAGCCTCGTGCTCCCCCTCCTCCTGGAAAGCCTGCCACCGTGAACATGCACAGTGAACAGAACCCTCCCCAAGATGCGTCCCCTGGCCCTCAGCAGAACCTGCTCAAAATGAAGGAGAACCTGCAGAATAGTGTGGTGGCCATCACCGTGGTTCTGCCCAGTGGGCTGGAGAAGAGGAGCGTGGTCAATGGGAGGTAAGCCTGGGTGCTTCGGGAGGGGTCACTGTGGTCCAGTTTGCAATCCCTAGGAGAACTAAGGGGGTCACACCAGATGCGATGCACTTCCTGCTGTGACAGGTGGGACCTGGGGGCCGTGGGGCTGTACATCTGGGCCTAGGCAACAGCATCTCACCTGGAGTGACTGTATGCTAACTGGCTCCCTCACGGCTCACCTTAGTCTTAGGAGAGCAGACACTGCACGGCTCCCTTCTGTTATGGGGGTGGACTCAAAAGGAAGGGGGAGGTCACAGGCCTGTGTGCAGCTCAGGTGGGTGACCAGCTGCCAGAGTCCTCACTGCATTCTTGTTGCTGAAATCATACAGCCAGAGGGCAGCCTCCTGGATTAACTAACCATTCAAATGTCCATGTATGTGGTATATTTACATATTACTGTAGGGGCGAAAAGATAATCTGTAATCAGTTCTACAAATGAAAACAATGCAAGCTTAGTTTAAGGAGCAAACTCTGACCCATGGATTTTAAATTTAAATTTTAACCAATTTCCATACTGGAGATTCCCACCTGAATTCATTCTCAAAATGGATTTGCCTGTGAAGGTACGTGTGGTAAAGGTCAGGTACCACTTACTTTCCCCACATCAATCGTAAAAGGCACGTTGAAGCACTGGCAAAACCTCCTTCATCCATAGTATTAAGATTTTTCTTATCAATAGAATTTCTAATTTTGCTGGATGCTTATCAAAATATATCATAGTTGTGTTGTTTGATCAATTTTGTACTCCTACTGTTGTTACTGATGAGTCGATCTGTAATAAGATTTCCACAAAATCACAGGAAATGAAAAAATTAAATTTAAATGTTTATATAGTTTTTGTTGTGGAGAGAGTATGATAGAGTGATCAACTATAAACACTTTTAAGCATAAGATACATTTGTATAATTCTGAGGCATGAGTGAATAGGAGCAATATTTCTAGGAAAACGAGAACAAGAAATGATAAAAAAAATTAAATCTTGAAAAACAGTTTGCTTCAATACTTTTAAGTGGATAATAATAGAAATCATCACTCTGGGTGTTTTTAGTCTCGTGGATATATTGAAAACAGCAGTGGAACAGTTTTATTTAAAATATTATTATTTGGATTCTACCTGAAATTATATCCTTTGCAACAATTTAAACTTTATCATGAAAACTTTAGGTGATGACTTAATGAGCAAAGGGCAATATGTTTTTAAAATGGTTTTATGGGCTATGTCAGTGAAAATCTGAGGAACATTGCTATGGGCCACATCATACACCTAGGGTCAAAGCTGTTGAGTTATGGGTATAAAATCTCCGACTGTGCTGGGTGATGACAAACTGCTTTCCAGAATGGTGCCTCCTGGAAGTCCCAGGCTTGCTCCTTACAGGGGGCCCTCCTCCTGGGCTGTCTCAGCAGTGAGCACCTACATCCGTCCGTGCAGGAGGCACCTGGGCCTGCAGCTTCACAGTCCATAGGAGCCGATAGGCAGTGCCCTATGCTAGCTCCCAGGGTTCACACAAGAGATGTCCAAGTTAACAAGAGTTTCTGTTTCTGTTTCACAGAGCCATCCTTGTTCTAAGTACAACTGGAGAAACATACCATATTTTATAGGTCTGCAAACTACTTTAGTAGATGAATGAACTTTTATCAGTGAATGTGCTGTGGTTTACTCACCATTGTTATATTTTTGGCCCAATTTCTAGTTACATTTTTTGTTTTAAAAACCCCTTTATGAAGTCTTTAAATACTGTACAAAACCTTTACATATTTGATATAGGCAATCTGATGTGCTTGTAAGCAAGTGTACACCCATGAAACCATTGCCACCATAAATCTAATTGTATATTTTTTAAGAAAATGGCCTGTGGGTCATGTCTTCATGCTGTCATACATGGTTCAGTTTTACAAACACATGAGAGGGATAAGATGCCTACTGTCTTGAAAAATAAGAATATTGTTTTGGAAAATGTTTTCAAGCTGAATACATTCTTCCAAGTGTATCTTTATTTTTTTCCCTTACAAAATAGAAGCTATCACAGTGAAGGTTTTCAGTATAGCTATAAGAATAGGCATGATCTTAGAGACTGTTAAAATACTCAACTCTTTTCTACTAGTAAATTATAATCCCTTCTCCAGTGCCTGCAGGATTAAGTGAGTCAGAGTAGCATCCTGTGGGCTTCCTTAACTGGGTTAACCATTGCTAGTGTGATAACTATTGCTGATGCAGCCTCTCGCTTTGGGAATAGGTTTTATGTGTCACACTCTTTAATAATATAAGAGTGGGCTGAAGTCAAATTCCTGACCCTTGCTTAAAATAGATCTACTAGTTGTTCATGTATGTCGCTTTTCTCTTCTGTTTTATTAGAGAACATGCCTACTTTTTCATAGGGTAAGCAGATAGTTTACAATTTATAATCAGCCCCTTAGCCATGCTATTTCTCACTAGGCAAGATTCTTTCATCTCTATGAGACAATACATTAGTAATTGGAGTCTGATGATTCCATTCTGCATATGGCAATGACGTTTTTAAAGCTTCCTTTGGATTTAGAAACTGAAATAGAAGTCTAGTCTGCTCTTACAGAGGTGAAGAGAATGGGATTCCGTGTTCTGGGCCATTCATAAGGAAATGTCCTGGTGCACACGTAGGAATGGTGTCACAAGCACTGTGCCTGGCTGCTGGCCGGAGGCCCCCAAGTCTATCACTTTAATTGGGGCACCTGAAAAGAAGATCTTTGAAGAGACAACACCCTCCACCATGAGAGCGCTAAGCTATGTCAGGCATCAGAGTGTTGGCACTGTGTCATTCTGATGTGGTAATTAATTAGTCATGTCCAAGTTGGTATTCATACCCAAGGGACCCGGGACCAAAAGGGTGTTTGCTTTGCAGAAGAGAGGAAATCTGCTCTAGTATTCAGGCTTGCATTTCTGACTCTTCGGTCATCATACCCCCTTTACTGTAGACATTGTTTACAGCCATGTCTGGTTCTTGGCCCCTGTGAAACAGCACAGGGCTCTCACACTACAGGCTCTGAGCCAACATGTTCCTTCTGGAGAGAGCCCACCTGTTCCAAGATGAAGGGGAGGCAGGCTGGGAGCGCCCCCAGCCCTGGTCTGTCCATCTGCCCAGGCCACCCAGGCATTGGGAAGCCATTTGTGGAGGGAGTAGATGAGCTCTGAAGGGCCATGGCCTGGCCTCGCCACCTGGTCAGCTCATGGCCCTGTGGCTGGAGCTTCTCATCTCTAGTACTCAAAGAAGTGACCTGGGAAAGGGCAGCTTCAGGGCTGGGGAGATGGCCAGAAGACAGCTCTCTAAATAACTGGCTAACAGTCAGGTTTGGTTTGGTTTAGTTTAATTTCCATTTCCATTTGAAGAATAACTTTTTTTAAAAGACACTATTTTTTAGAGCAGTTTTAGGTTCACAGTGAAGTTAAGCTGCAGGTACAGAGCTTTGCCATGTGGCCTCTGCCCCTGCACATGCTCAGCCTCCCCATTAACAGCATCCCCATCGGCGGTGGGGGAGGGGATTGGCTGTGATCAGTGAACATACACAGACATGTCTGTACCCAGGGATTATAAATGACAATAGGATTCACTCTGTGTGGTACACTCTGTGGCTTTGGACAAATGTATAATGGCATGTATCCACCATTATAGTTTCAAACAGTATTTTCACTGCCCTAAAATCTCAGAAAAAATTTCAGGGACTCAGAGCCCCTGTTGGTCACATTAGTTAGAGGTGAACCCCACTGAACAGCCTTAGCCCACATAGTGTGTTTGGTCATCAGCCCTAACTCACACTTTCTAGTGAATACCTCCCTGCAAAGTTTCTGCCTCCTGAAAGCTTTGTTTGGGCTAAGTCCAGGAGATGCAAGACAAAATCCCTATTCCATGAAGAAAGTGATCATCGGCCTACAAATTCTCTGGTGTTTTCTCTTTCCAGCAAGGAACTCAACAAGGTTAAGGGGCTGACTGTCGATTATAAATGACTTGCTCCTCCTGTGCAAAGGTGGTGTGTTCTTTACCAAACCCACCATTCAGTGGTTCACAGGGGATGCCAGGTTGTTTTGGACTTGGTGCTAACCCAGTCCTACAGAGGGGAAGTTCTGCTGAATGATACACTACAAAGGTGTGAATGATCATTTGTTCATTGAGTGAAATATGTACCGAACACCTAGATTTTGTGAGGCACTGGGACACGAGGAGGAGGACATCCCAGTGGAGATGGATGAGGAGAGAGGCCCAGAGGAAGGCTGTGCAGGCAGAGAGGCCCAGAGGCAGAGGGAAATGAATAGCATTTGCAAAGTGACCTGTTTGTGTAAGAAGTGGGGAGTTTGTTTGGGCTGCTGGAGCCCAGATGGAGGAGGAGGCACGTGGGCCTGGATATTTGGGGTGGCATGTCCTGATAAGGATCCTGCAAGCCATCCTGTAGCTCCACGGGTCTCAAACACAGTGGCACATGCCACCAAGGACACAAAGCTCTGGTACTTGGCAAGTCATGAGAGAACAGGTGTATCAGAACACTGATTTTCCTCAAACATATGGGAAAATAGTTTTATATTGAACGTAGCATACCAAATTGGTGTATGTTTTTAGAATAAATACTAACAATCAATTATCAGATATTTGGGCTGTATTCTAGTACCCTAGGGGGCTCGTTGACACCCCTGACACGTGAGAAGCACAAAAAAGGCCTGCTTTGCCCATGACCCGGACACAGGAGGCTTAAGACTCTGAAGCAAGATGACCTCTGAGAAATAGGTCAAAGATGGTGAGGTCAGAGCTAAGAGAAAACACAAAGTTAGTGGGGTGAGAACCTAACCAGAATGCACCCCTCATTAGATACCACCTGTTCACACCAGGTAACTGCTCACAGCTTCACATCTGGTCAGGACATCTGCCAGGCTCCTGGCCTGTATAATGGCATGTGTCCACCATTATAGTTTCAAACAGTATTTTCACTACCCTAAAATCTCCAGGGATATCTGGGTCCTG